CCCACCGCGCTGACGCGCAGCGTACCACTTACGAAGCTGCTGAGGGGACAGGGTCTCACGACTGCACTGCTGCTGCTGACGCGGACCACCACCGGAGCCACTCCTCTGCGCAGAGCCGCGACCAGCTCCACTGCTGCCGCCGTCGCCTCCACCTCCTCCGCCGCCTCCGCCACCTCCGCCGCCTCCGCCACCTCCGCCGCCTCCGCTCCCTCTGCCACCACCGCCGCCTCCTCCGCCTCCACTGCTGCCACCGACACCTCCACCCCCGCCACCACTCCCACCACCACCCCCACCCCCTCCACTGCCTCCACCACCACCTCCACCGCCCCCGCCAGCCACTCCACCGCCCTTGCCCCCCTTGCCCTTGCCGGTGCAGCGTCTCCCGCTAGGGGCAGACGCAGCGCCGACCGACTCGAAACCAACGAGGTCGGCCGCAGCAGCAGAAGCAACAGAGGGCAAGAGGGGGGAGGGGGAACACCCCTCAAAGACGGGGGTGCGAGGGTCACCACGAGAGGCTCCTACAGCGACGATGCTCTTCTCTGCTGCTAGGAGGCGCTCCTCGAGGAGGTCAACGGTGAGTGTGGTGGGGCAAACTGAGAGGAAGTGGTCCCTGACTAATCAAAGGGAGTCATGGAGCCGGGATACTATGTAGTAGAGGGTGATGTATATGGGGGGGGGGTTCTTGGCGCAGAACTCAGCAGGAAGCGCAGCGCGGTAGCGAGTGTCACTAGTGCGGAGGTGCGTTATGAGGTCAGCGACTGTGGGAAAGGCAGCAAGGTCAGGGAACAGGTACAGCAGCATGAGGCGGCTAAGCGCAGCAGTGGCAGGGGAGGAGTAGCGTGCAACTACAGCGTCGTACAAGGTCTTAGCAATCTTGTACTGGCTAAAGTGCGCACGCTCAATGGTCGGTAAGTGGCGACGCACAGCAAGGCGGGCAGCAGCGTCGCGTGTGGCCCACTGTGAGCGAACAGTGGTGTCAGCAGTAGAAGGCGGGGCAGGAGAGGCACCAGAGGTGAGATCGAACAGGGAGAGTCCGTCTGCCCTATCGCACTGTAGGAACAGCTGGAGGTCATCGACCCAGACCTCAAAGTCAACAGCACGACCCTCAGCATCAAAGGTAAGGACACTGGGGGTAGCCATGACTGCAGTGGCCTAGCAGGGAGTGATCTCACTAGTCCGAGTAAGTAGGGGCGGGGCGCGCCGGTATGAACAGTAGTGGCTCGACGGCAGGGCGGCTCGGCGGCTCGGCTGTTGGGCGGCTTGGCGGCTCGGTTGCTGGGCGGCTCGGCGGCTCGGCTGCTGGGCGGCTCGGTTGCTGGGCGGCTCGGCGGCTCGGCTGCTGGGCGGTTCGGCGGCTCGGCTGCTGGGCGGCTTGGCTGCTGGGCGGCTCGGCTGCTCAACTGCTGGGCGGCTCATCGGTGAAGAGGCCGGTAGAGGCGGCGGCGAGGCCGCTAGGGGCGGCGACGGGGCCGCTAGGGGCGGCGAGGTGGCTGCGAAGGGGCGGCAACAGGGCCACTAGGGGCGGCGACGGGGCCGCAGAGGGGCCGCAAGGGGCCTAGAGGGGCGGCGACGAGGCCGCGAAGGGGCCGTAAGGGGCCTAGAGGGGGCGGCGACGGGGCCGCAAGTGGCGGCGACGGGGCCGCGAAGGGGCCGCGAGGGGCCTAGAGGGGCGGCGACGGGGCCGCTAGGGGCAGCGACGGGGCCGTGAAGGGGCCGCAAGGGGCTTAGAGCGGTGGCGACGGAGCCTAGAGCGGCGGCGACGGGGCCGTGAAGGGGCCGCGAGTGGCCTAGAGCGGCGGCGACGGGGCCTAGAGCGGCGGCGACGGGGCCGTGAAGGGGGGCCGCGAGGAGCCTGGAGGGGCGGCGACAGGGTCGCTAAGGACGGCGATGGGGCCGCTAAGGGTGGCGCGAGGGGCCTCTAGGAGGGCGCGACGTGAGGGCGGCCTACGGGGCACGCCTCGGGCAGGAAAAAAGATCGTGTTAGTTGGTGGGCCCTGAGAAGCGTTCCCACGAGGGAACCTGCTCTATACCATGTGAAGAATGAGGAATGAGTTGACTAGGCAGAATGTGGGTACAAGTAGGAAACCTAGAAATGTTGTACCCTATAGTGTCTACCCCACTACAGCCTAGATAGACCATAGCATATATGTTTGACAGCCGGTGCAGTCAAGAATGTCAAAGTCTATGACGTAAACTCCGTTTTCGGCGTGCGCTCGACCGATATGCTTGCGCGTCTTGTTCGGCATCGTAAAGTGGACTAAAATGTCACGTGTCTTGGCGTCGGTGCTGAGGTCGACCCCGCAGTCCATGAGTTGCACCGCTGAGAGGAGATTGAAGCGTAGCTTCTGCACGATCAGCTCGTCGTTCAGCGTGATGTGCGTCTTGCTCCTTTGGGCCTTGAGCACAACGATGCCTTGCGCGCTTGCGTGCAAGCGCGTGTTGTTCGCCACGGTGACATAGGTGTGACAAAATTAGAAGAAAGAAAGAGGATACAAATAGCAAACCCTAGAAGGGTTGTACTCGCTATAGAGCACCCCACTACAGGCTAGAACAATAAGATAATATTCTGACAAGGTGACGGCAGGGGTGGCGACGGCGTTGGATATGTAACGCTCGGAGCCCACCATATGCTGCCCACAGCAACTATCCAGGTACCACGTGTTGTTGCGCCTATTGTCGTTACGTGCGAGCAGCAGCCGCGGAGTAACGATGTGCGGTGTGTCAACCTTGAGGAACTGTTTGCGCGCGATCCAATCGATCGGTGCCACCCGCGCGTCAAATATGTGCGGAGGACTCTCAAGCAGCGGGATTGGGAGATTCCAATCTTGGGCGTCATCGTCGCTGAAGTCGTGACGCGTGTTGAACGGGTTGTTGTTTGAGAACGCTCCGATTGGTTGAGGTGCTGGCTCAGATGACGGTGAGCGAGCGCGAGGACGACGCGATCCGCTTGTCATTGCCATATTTCCCATGACATTGCGGACGAAAGCTGACTGTGGCTATTGTTGCTGCTGATGCTAAACCGTTGGGTTCAGGTTGCGCGAAGGGGGTTGATACCCCTCGGCTGGACGCGAGTCATTCCGTGCGTCTTGTCGGCCGGACCAGGTGCTCGGATTGGTCTGACGAGGGCGAGATTGGGACTTGCATCGATCTGCCAGGTGCCCGAAATTTCTGCAAATTTTGCAGTAAAGGCGCCGCGGCCGTCGCTCTTCAATGTTGTCGAGGTAGAAGGCAAGGCGTTCCCGTTCTCGTCGTGCCGCTGGTCGCTGCTGGTCCATATCCCGTTGTTCGACAAGAAGGGCGGCGCATAGGGCGGCCTCCGAGATGACCCCTTGCTTTCGAAGGAGCACCTTGTAGGGCCTCCACTCTGGGCTGAGTCCTTGGAGTACAATATTCACGAAGATCTCTTCTGAGATCGTACTCCCAAGTTTTGCGATCTGATCGCGTAAGTTCCGACAGCGATTAAGGGGACTGTTGGCCTTCTCCCCTGGGACCATTCTTGTCTCCAGTAGATGCTGGAGTAGGCAGCTCGACAAGACCAAATCCTTCGGTTGGTACACGCCATTTAGGTGGCGCCAAGCGTCAAGGGCTGGAGCAGAGGAAGTCTTGTATGAGCGAATGTCAAACTTATATACTTCATGTTGTGTAGGCTGTAGTGGGGTAGCCCATATGGGGTACAACCCAAATTAGGGTTTGCTACTTGTACTCCTCCATGCTGTTAGTTCACCCATTCTCGTTCATTCTGCTCACATGGTTTCAGAGCAGGTCCTAGCCTAGGACCGGTTTTTTTTTTTGGGCCCACCGAACCGCGCTACCCCACGAGTCGCGCCGCCCTGTTAGTGCCGCGCCGCCCTACCTTGCCCGCGCCCCTCGCGCCGCTGAGCGCCCTGCTCTGCCCGCGCGCTGCCCGCCGCCGCGCGCCCTGTCCTGCCAGCGCGCCGCCAGCAACCGTGCGCCCTGCCCTGCCCATGCGCCGCTAGCAGCCGCGCTGCCCTGCCTGCGTCGCGTCGCCCGCGCACGCCCTGCCCTGCCCTGCGTCGCGCTTTCCCGCACGAGCCCTGCCCTATGTTGCGCCGCCCGTGCACTCCCTACTCTGCCCTGCGTCTCGCTGCCCCGGGCGAGCCCTGCTCTGCGTGGCGCCACCCGCGCACGCCCTACCCTGCCCGTGCGCCACTCGCTGCCGCGTGCCCTGCCTTGCCTGCGCGCTGCCTGCCGTTGAGCGCCCTGCCCTGTGTCACGCCGCCCGCACACGCCCTGCCCTGTGTTATGCCACCCGCACACGCCCTGCCCTACCTACGTGCCGCCCTGCACACCTGAGCTCACTTCCAGCGCACCTGAGCTCGCTTACCGAACACCTGAGTCCGTTTCCTGCATACTTGAGCTCACTTCCCGCACACCTGAGCTTGCTTACCGCACACCTGAGTTCGTTTCCTGCATACCTAAGCTCGCTTCCCGCACACCTGAGTTCGCTTCCCGCACACCTGAGCTCGCTTCCCGCACGTCTGGAGCGCGCCTACTCTGCTGCTCGTGCACCACCCTGCTCTACCCATTATGGCGACTCTCGGCGTCCTCACCTTTGATCCGGAGGGCTGCCTGATAGAGTTTGATTCTTGGCACGATGTCTTACAGCTGTACTTACTGAGCGACTCTAAGGACGGTATTTCTCTGTTTGACCTCACGTCTGGAGCCTCATCCGCCCCTGCCGCCACGGCTGACAATGCGACTCGCTCACAATGGCTTACCCGTGACACTACTGCTCGCCTATCCATTCGCAATCACCTGCCGTTAGCTGAACGCGCTCACTTTGGCCAGCACAAGACTACTAAAGCCCTGTCTGACGCCGTAGTCGATCGTTACTCCTCCCCGGCAACTACCTAGGCCGCCTGTTCCCCGAGCTGTCCGCCTTTGCCACAGTCGCTGACCTCGTCACTCGCCTTCGCACTAGTGACGTCCGCTACCGAGCCGCGCTTCCCACCGAGTTCCTCACCAAGAACCCTCCTCCCATGTACATCACTCTCTACTTCATAGTCACCCGCCTCCCTGACTCTATTGGCACTGTCGGGGACCTCCTTCTCGCCATCGACCCCACGGACCTCACTGTCGACCTGCTCGAAAAGCACCTCCTTGCATCTGAGACTAGCATAGTCGCTGTAGGTGCTTCTCGTGGCACTCCTCGCACTCCCTTCTTTGAGGGGTGCTCGCCCTCCCCCCTTCTCCCCTCAGTCGCCTCTATTGCAGCTGTTGACTACCTACGTGTTGAGGATGTAGGAGCTGCGTCTGCCCCTAGTGGGAGGCGCTGCAGCGGCAGGGACAGGGAAGGCAGGGGCGGTGGGGGTGGCAGAGGTGGAGGCGGTGGTGGGGGCGGTGGAGGCGGTGGTGGGGGCGGTGGAGGCGGTGGAGGGGGCGGCGGTGGCGGAGAGAGTGGTGGTGTGGGTAAAGGCATAGGTGGCGGTAGTGGTGGCGGCAATGCGGGTGGAGGCGGCGGCAGTGGTGGCGGCCGGGGTGGTACCAGCCAAAGGGGAGGCCTTGGCGGTGGTCAGAGGCAGCAGCAGCAGTCGCGTCAGCGTGAGACTCCTTCGCCTCAGGAGCTACGTGAGTGGTTTGCTCAGCGTGGGGCAACAGGGAGTAGTGGTCCCTGCCCGTGTGTCATTTGCACAGGTGACCGCTCTGGTCAGACATGCGGGAAGCCTCACACCCAGCACCGCTGCTTCTCTCGTCTACCCGACGCCTTCCGCTTAGAGTTTCCCAACGCGGCTGAGCTCCCCTGCTAGGCAGCGCTACTAAGGCAGGGGGTGGATACCTTTGCTCTGGATTATGATGCTATCCTTGTTGCCATGTATGCATTGACTGTTAGTGCTAAGGGTGACTGTAACCTGTGTATGCCGCCTGTGAGAGTACGACGGCATATCCCAGCTATGCTTGCTTGCCTTTACTTTATTATGCTATTTCTAGCTTAGGTTTATTATATGCATGCATGAATTGCTTGATTTCCTAGGCTAGGTGCTTTCCTATATTTTATTATAGTTATAGCACCGAGCTAGGTAGCGTGCACCGAATTCCGGCTTTCGGTTGCCACCGAATTGCCTTCTACCGAATTTGGTAAGGATCTGTTCGGGACGCTTCGCGACCCGCGGAACCTTCGCGTAACACCTGGTTACGAGGCCTTGTGTCGAGCCTATATATAGCCTCGTGTTGTACCCAGGTGATCATTCAATTCAATTCAATTCAATTTGAATCATCTTTTCTGAGCTCGATCTTAGATCCTCACACTTGGTAATAAGAGCGGGTTTACACGCGAGGTCTTCAACCGCTTAGTTCCGGCCTTTAAAAAACCGCGGGGGCGACGATGAAAGCGCCGATACGGGTATGTAAATCCAGTTCCGCGCAATTTTTCTAAGTCCCCTTCGATTCGGTTTTCGAACACCCCTCAGATTTACTAGTGGAAAGGTTGGAGTTGCGACCGTTCGATCGAGTTTCATCTCAACGGCCCAGAGAATTTCGCCCAAAAAAATTGGAATTTGGAGCGTCGGATTGATTTTCTCCTCAACAGCCAAGATCGGACGCAAATTTCACCTAGGGGAGATTTACGTGACCTACAGAATTCGCGCTCGTCGATCCTTTTGTCAACTTGACTCCCAATAAGTCGACCAGCACCTAGAATTCGATTATTTTTGTCGCGCATCTTCTTATTAATCGCCAAATGGTGGGAAAAGGAGATATTTCAGTACAGGAAATCGCGGAGTTACGTGCTGAGCATAAGCAAATACATGCGGCGCTCCCACGACTCGAAAAACTCCTTGCGAACCAGTCGGCAACCGCCACGGCAGCAGCGACAACAGTAGCAGCAGCAGCACCGGCACCACCGACAATTCTACATGCGACAACGGCAGCAGCTATAGTTAACCTCGAAGCGGTGAAGCCGAGGCTACCGGAGGCGTTCGATCCTACAGTTAAAAGGAACGACATTCGTCGATTTGTAGCTGAACTCGAAATTTACTTCGAAGCCGTTGGATGCACGACCCCGACAAAAGACGCAATGCGCATACGGCTCGCAGCAACACTGTTACAAGGCCCAGCTCTAGAGTGGATCAACAATATAATAGTCCAAGGCGAGGGGACGTGGGCGCAGTTTCCAGCAGCACTGATCGAATAGTTCAACACTTTGATCAGTATCTACTACGAAACACGACGCAACAAGCCAACTAGTGGCATGGGGCGATTGGCACCACCCACGACTGCCGACCCGATGGAGAACGACGAGGGCGATGTGGAGCAGCGGCTAGCAAATAATGAGACGTGCAAATTTTGCGGCGCTACAGGACATCGTATCTTGGTGTGTTGGAAAATGAAGAGAAGGTGTGCGGAGCTGAAGGACAAGAACAGTGCGGCACCCCCAAAGCAGAAAACGGACAACGTGGCAAATTCGGAGAGGGCGGAAAAGGGAGAATATGGTGGCGCAAATTTAAAACGTCACGACCAGCCGGCACCAGGGGAAATCGCCGAGACTAATGGAGGATCCGCGAAACAAGACCCTGCACCAACTGGGAAACTCTAGCCGTTTACCCCGACAAGTAAGAATATTACTTCTCGTGGGTTTCAAGCCTTTATTGAGGGAGAGTCAGAAATTAAACCGCTACCGGGTATTATGGGGACCCTACTCCAGAGCGCTAATACGGGTCGAGCGTTCCGGGGATTTAATATTCTCTCCCAACAGCACTGTTTAAAGGCTCCCTGTTCCCCACAGATGAAGCCTACACAGCTGCAAAGGCTTAGTGGAAGGTTCCAGGCCCAAGAGAAGCCGAATTGGCCTCGGATAAATCCTTCTAACCTTTTTGAGTTGAAAATTGATACTGAAGCTGCATCTTCGAGACAGGACCTAGGGATAACATATTCGACGTACCCTACGATCCTATAACCGATACCATCTACGGATACTCGGAGCAGCAACAACCACTAGTACTCGAGGTGATCTGCAACGGGCGTCGCCTCCAGGCCCTGGTGGACAGTGGTGCGTCCCACTCGATGTGCGACCGCGGGACGTTGGAGAAAATTGGAGAATCCTCAGAAGAAACCCAGTTTATAGCAACGATGGTGGAAGCAGACGCTAGTGACCAAGTAGTCGGAGCAGTACTGATGCAACATCACGAACACAGTTTGCAGCCCATCGCCTACCTCAGTAAGAAGCTGTTACAGTGGGAGAAAGACTTAGCTGTAAGGAAGGGTTCAAGAAAGATTTGGGTACCGAATTACGCCCCGCTACGGCAGATCCTATTGGAGGAGTATCACGACGTCCCTTACGCGGGACATTTCGGGAGCAACAAGACGTTAGCAGGGATAGCGAAGTATTACTACTGGTCCGGGATGGCAGCAGACGTGCAGCAGTTTGTCACCTCATCCGACACGTGCCAGCGGATAAAGAGCAGCAAGCAGAAAAAAGCAGGGTTACTTCAGCCTCTACCCATACTGGAGCAGCCATGGCAGGTCGTTAGCCTCGACTTTATAACAGGACTTCCTTCGACCTCACGGGGGCACGATTCCATCCTCCTAGTCATCGATAAGTTCTCCAAAATGGGTCACTTCATACCGACCAACGCCACAGCTACAGCTGAAGCAACTGCTCGCCTCTTCTTCGACCGCATCATCACCATCCACGGCATCCCCGCTACACTCATCTCAGATAGAGACCAGAAATTCACCAGTAAGTTCTGGAAGGAGCTCATGGGACTGTTGGGGACAAAACTTGCAATGTCTTCAGCATACCACCCACAGACTGACGGACAAACACAGCGACTCAATCAAGTGGTTGAACAGTTACTGCACACAGCTTGCAACGATGATGTCAGCCACTAGGACACACAGTTACCGACCCTAGAGTTCGCTTACAACAACGCATCACATGCGGCCACAGGCAAAACTCCTTTCGTCCTGTGTTACGGACGGGAACCACTCACACCACAGCAGCCAACCACACCGGCACACGTCCAAGCCGCACATGACTTCGTCACCACCATGCAGCAGCTATGGGAGAAGACTCAGCGACGTCTCACCACGATGCAGAACTCCTAGAAGCATTATGGCGATCGTCAGCGACAAGATCACTCAGTAGCAGTCGAAGAGCAGGTGCTTCTTGACACGCGCAACTTGAACCTGTCTCACCTCCCATCCAAACTCCGGCCTCACTTCTGTGGTCCTTTTCTCGTTGAGGCACAGGTGACACCAGTAACATTCCGCTTGCGCTTACCAGATTCATGGAAGCTTCACAACGCTTTCCATGTTCAGCTACTGAAGCCCTACAAGGACCCCAACCAACAGTTCCAGGGATGGCAGCTACCGTCACCACCACCTGTTCTCATACAGGATGAACCCGAGTACGAAGTGGATCATGTTCTCACTCATCGGCGCTGCGGCAGCAAGACCCTCGAATTCCTAATTCACTGGAAGGGATACGACCCCACTGAGGACAGTTGGGTTGCAAAATCTGATATGGGCAACGCACGCCGTGCTCTCAAGGACTATCTTTTCAAGCGGGGTGTATCTCACGCCACCCAGCTTTGAGGGGGGGACGTGTGAGAGTACGACGGCTTATGCCAGCTATGCTTGCTTGCCTTTACTTTATTATGCTATTTCTAGCTTAGGTTTATTATATGCATGCATGAATTGCTTGATTTCCTAGGCTATGTGCTTTCCTATATTTTATTATAGTTATAGCACCGAGCTAGGTTGCGTGCACCGAATTCCGGCTTTTTGTTGCCACCAAATTGCCTTCTACCGAATTCGGTAAGGGTCTGTTCGGGACGCTTCGCGACCCGCGGAACCTTCGCGTAACACCTGGTTACGGGGCCTTGTGTCGAGCCTATATATAGCCTCGTGTTGTACCCAGGTGATCATTCAATTCGATTCAATTCAATTTAAATCATCTTTTCTGAGCTCGATCCTAGATCCTCACACCGCCAGACCCAGGTATAGAGGCTGCTGCTCTAGGTGCTAGTGAGTCTGCTACTCCAGGTGCTGGTGAGTCTACTCTCTCAGGTACACATTTACGCTGCAGCCTTGCATACCTTTACGCTTGACTCAGGTGCTTCACGCTGTTTCTTTCGCGACAGTACCATAGTCACAACGCTCTATGCACCTGTTGCTGTCTCACCGGCTAACCCCTCTAGGGGCCCAGACCTTGCACGTTCCTCCACTGTTCTGCCGTGTCTGACAATTCCGTCTGGCTCACTGTCAGGTCTCCACCTCCCCTCGTTCTCTACGAACTTGGTGAGCAACGCCGTCCTTAAGGATGCGTGGGTTGATACCTTCACCCCTAGAGGACAGCGTGTGGTGATCTGTACGTGCTCTCGGACTAGCACGCACCTGGCCACGTTCACCCGTCGACCAGGGTCGAGTCTGTACACACTGACTACTGCGCTTCCTCGGGTAGCTGCGTCTACGTCCGCGTCAGGTCAGCTGGCGGCCCCCTGCTCGTGTCGGGCCCTGTCGCACCAGATGCTCCTTTGGCACCACCTCCTTGGTAACCCCTCCGTCGCACGCCTCCAAGGCATGCACTCCCGTCTCCTTGTCTCTGGTCTTTCCAGGTCTATGCCTCCCCTCCCACCCTCGCCTGCCCCTCCCTGTCTTCCCTGTGTCAAGGGGTGGCAGCGCGCCGCTCCTCACTCCTCCTCGTTCCCCCCGACGTCTGCTCCCCTGCAGACTCTCCACATGGACGTGTGGGGCCCAGCCAGCGTCCGGGGACAAGGCCGCGAGCGCTACTTACAGCTGGTTGTCGACG